CTTATCACGTCTTGAGAAGGAGAATAAATATTCTAGTAAGCTCCTACCTACTGGAGATTTGCCTAAACCGAGGAACAATTACGATTCAGTTGCAGGTAACTGTTTACAAGTTGATATTGAAATAACACTATTTTACAATATTAACGTTGTCGTCTATTATTCTATCACTTAGTGACTCAAAATTTTGAATAAGGGTTTAACCATGACTGGTATGTCAAAATTAACAAAGTTTCGATGAGTTCTGTCTGTAAAATAGAACTGATGTGCTCTACGATCAATGTGATTTGTGGTAGTAATTCTGGGTTTTTGTACTAGCAAGCTTAAACATAAATTATCAATAAAAGCATAGTAATAGTGTTTGCAATGGTAAATAAAAATATTCATGGGACATCGAATATTCCTATTCTGTAAAGCTTAATCGAAACACCGCGATCTATTACTCGTAATCATCTATACAATAGTAAAAAATTCTGTCCGACTTACCCAATACGGTAAATAATAAGTTTTGGGTGACAACAATCCAATTTTTTCGTACTGACAAACTTTTCGTCGTCAATTAGCAGACACCCAATGCCTGCATGAGTGTTTTGTCCCAACCCCCATTTTGACATTGCGTACGAACGACGTAATGTAGACATTTCCCTACTTTATTAATAAAACCATTAATCTACCCTTAAGACATACCGAATTAACCTTACTCTTGTTCTAAGATATGAATTGCCTCAATTGAAAATCAGGAGATACTAACATATTATGAGTACTATAAAACCAGACTCACTATACAGTCAGTGAACTCTCCCTAAATGCACGCCCTTGGGACCGAAAGTATGAGAGCGTGCATTTAGGGAGAGTAATTCCGATTTATTGGTTAAATATTGATCTATGCTTGTTTGTCGCATCGTATTAGCTTTTTCTCTCTAATATCTCTCGAGAATATTTGTCATTTTTATGTATTCACTTGCATTTTCTTGTAGTAAAAATGCTTGTACAGTTTCCAAGTCTTGTAATGCCGTACTGGCACTGATAGCTGTTATTTCAGTGCTTGTTCGAGTTCTGGGTATGTAACCGATCTGTGTCTTTTTTGCATTTGGAGCAATGATTTCTTCTTCAGAAAGTAACTGGTTGCTTCTTTGCAAAATTTGTGTTATGGTAGACTCATTAACCCTGACTTGCCATTTAGTTTCGACATACTCCGCACGAGATTTCTTATTATCGCGAGCATACAGGCAAAGTTCGTATTTTTGCGAATCTGTCAAAGTTGTCTTACTTTTTGGCGGCATGATAAATTATTTTTATTAACAGTGAAATTTCAGTACAATTCTCGAACTAACAATTAGTTATAAACGATTTTTGTGACTATGACCACGATGGCATGCTTAAATAGTGGTTAACTGTTACAATCGTAAATTATTACAGAATATGATAGTAAGATGTTCTGTCCACTGTTGATTATTAATGTCTAATAAATACATGACCTGATGTTAGCAGACAATGTTACTACAGAACTGTATTCTCACATTTCGAATATAACTTGACACCAGAAAATAGTTCGCTTGCGTAAAACGGATTCTCTATTCGTTACATTTTATGATCTGATAATTTGTTATTGTCTTATGACCTGGGAATGTTAACTCGCCGAATTTCATTGGTGATGGACATTGACTGACTATACCATATTTAGCCGCTGGGTCACGTGCGTGCATTTAGGAGATTATTTTCAGCAAAATCCATTGCACGTGCAGAATATAGAGAGTGGTGCATTTAGCATTAAGTCCCGAGGTTGGGACCATCAAATAGCGTGCATTTAGGGAGACTGTGCATTTAGGAAAGTTCACTGTATTTAGCAGCAAAAATTGGTTTATTAAAAATGAGCTGGATAGCCGTAAATATAGCATCAATTGCCACAAGAGACGTCTTTTTTCCTAATCTCAAGGCTGATTGATGAGACGCTTTCTCTACTTAAGATAGATGTTAGTCACGCAAGATACGGTAACTAGTTGGATACAGTATGTGACGAAAAAAGTTGCCTCACTAAAATTTCGTACAATTTTGCAACATTGCACCACCAAAGTATACAATAAATATATTAATTTAAAGCTTAAACAAGTAGATTTAATTAATTAGTTTTAATAATCGGTTATTCTCCAATTACTTTTCAATAACTTGTTGACAACAATTTTAATTAAATTGATTACAGTCACATCAGGGATATTATTCGTCCTCCACCATCGTCCTCCAAATTTCGCGACATTATTTTTCCAGTTCCGTTTATTAAGCTATCTCGTCAGTGAAGACAATTATCGTTAAAGTGTTTGTGCCCTCTCCATACGATCTCCTTTGTGCCTTTCGATAAACATTGGCGTTTTAATAGACCTGTTTTTTGATATTCGCTTGAGTTTAAATACCGACCTAAAAATCGATATGAAACTGCAACACCGAATTTGATCACTATTCTCCTTAGTAAAATTGAAGAATCTCTCCTTGGTATGTCCAATTACTCTAGCCATGTTATATCCACTTTGCTCTTTCGACTATTTCTACATTTATGTTCAACATGTTATTTTTTTTTTTTTTTTTTTTCAGTTTATGACATGGTAACTGAGTTGTACGTACTTAATTCTGAAACAGAGCGTATGCTTTGCTTCCAAAAATGTGATAAACTTATTTTCTTGTCATTTGCGTAAGTGAAGACATTCTAGAAAGTATATTTCTAAAGACACAATAAAGACGCAGGTAAAATAGAACAAGAAATAGACCATAAACATAAGCTTTGTTTGCTTTTTACACGACGCGTTTTGTGCTGAAATTGGTAGAGATATGCGGGCAAAAAGTTATCATAAACGGCAACTTTTTTCGTCACGTACTGTAAGTTAGGAACAATAAGCTTGTAATGCATGAGTCTTTCCAACAGCTGTTCACCCGAAAAAGCACTTGCTGACTGCAGTCATAGAATAACATTTTAATGAAAATACCAATATTTTGTTTCATTATTTAGTTTTCACATCATTCAATTGACTATCTCTCTCCGTCTGTCAAACCGTTTAAGATTATAAAGCGCTATTTCTTTTATTCGCCTAAAATTTATTCGCTTTAACATGTCTTCGTTTTAACGGTTCGTTTTGTCAAGCTTTGACTTACCTCATGTGAAATGACACCGTTTGTGTAATAACGACCTTGAGATTTAGCGTCTTCCGACGGAATCTTAAGCCATTCCTGCTAACACTAAACCTTTAAATACAATTAGCGACTTTATAGGATTTATCAATACCCAAATTCTAAGATTCGATATCCGTATACGCTCGCTCTGGATACTATTCAATTTTTGAGTCTTAAACCGATTATAATTCGATTGGGATTGGAATCAAAAGTCTATCGATCGGGGAAGTTTTCAAATAGGAAACGCGTTTCTAGTGCTCAAGTTCCGACAAATTCGATGGCAAGATCAAATTTGTTAACCGCCGATCGAGAAAGTGTTTTACACTTAACCAGCGATTCGATAAAAAAAACTCAGCAGGGAATGAACGGAAGAAATAACTTATATTAATTATAGATTTTATTAGAACTCAAAGAGCTATTCTAATTACAAGATTACAAGGACAAATAGAATCAAATATGCCGAAGATGTGCAGAAGATAAGATTTACTAAGGAAAATTATGACCGCTTATCTAGCTACCGTTTCACTAAAACTGGTATTAAATTTCGATATATGGGGAGCGATCTGCTGCATAGTTAAACTGACAACAGATCTGTGGTATCAAATATGCGAAATCCCGTTGTCACTATGTGTAACTACTTTGAGTCATGCGCAGCTGTGCACTGAAATTTCCGATGCGCCGCACACAAGGCGGAAATCGCGTCACCGTTTAAACTTAGGGCTTAACAAATGTCAAGTAGATCAAAACCGAAAATGGAAACTTTTTTTAAATTGATTTATTTTCAAAAGAGTCGAACTGGGTATTATACAACCTAAGCAAATATAAAGACATTGCAAAGGAGGAAACGCTCGATCATAGACTACGAAGATGAACAATCCTATTTTTTGGTGTCTTCAAAAAAAGAGAGATCTGTTACAATCTATCAATATACTATTACAGCTATATAATTATAACTATTTTCGACCACCTTTTGATACAACTTTGCTTGAATCAGCATGCTTTACATCTATATATTGATATTGCGTGATTGATTATTTGATTCTGAGCTCTGCTCTTTAGAACCTCTGACATGCATTTTTGTTCTATTTTTCTGGACAGCAATGCAATGTTAGGCATAATAGCCACACACCTCGGAAATTTTTAGATACAAATCCTGGAATCGACTTGCCCCTATTCTCTTTGGAGCCCTTCTCTTTTTTTAATTTAAGAAATTGGATGGTATAGACAGCTCCTGGATAAGCTTTTTTATATGACAAAATAGCCTTTTTACTGGAATACTTTCAGTAAATTCATCCATCGCTCTTATTAATCTACTTGTTACGACTAGCAACAGTTAAGGTTGGTTTATGCCATGTAATATTTGCTACAAATGTTATTTGGGATTAGATAACAAAGAGAGGTTTGTAATAAGAAATTGTAAATGAAGTATCTGACGCATTAATTCTGACGCAACTTTATCTTTAATTAAAATGATCAATTCGTCATTTACACGCCATCAACGCATAACTTGCTAAAGGCTTGAGCGAAAAACGAGCTGATATTTTTACACAGAATCTTCCGTTCAACTGGAGGTTGTTTGCCTCTTTCTAAATTACGAGATAAATGTAACATATTACGCGAGTAATATTTTAACAGACAGGTATGTTGATATTATGCTCATTGCATGTAGTTGGTAATATTGTAAACAACAGATAACCAGTAACGTAGTGATGTAGATATTGTCTATGCAGTTGACGAGCTCAAATATTTCAATTATATCCAATCATCAGATTTTAATGACACAAGCTCAGAGTCGGGTTTTCTTTATATTTATGACATAATAAATGGCTGCGCACAAATACAATGTATTCAACACAGTAAAATTAACCAATGAATTTACTGCATTTGCCAACAGTAATGTTTCTTGAATTGTGCCTCAAAAATATTCTAGCGTTTAAAAAACTGCCATTTTTACATAATGTTTTTATATCTATCGAGGTATAAAATAAAATCACACCACAAGCCGCCACGAAGCATCTCCAGCAACTATCCCGTTAGTATCGTGTTTTGCTCACGCTCTCTGGTTTATCTCTGTATCATAAACTCACAAACTATGCGTTGTCAAGTTTAAGGAGCCAATTTTATTTTAAATTAATTATTCCGCCATAGAGCTTGCAGATATTCAACCTATAAATCTTGCGTTAGCAATGGCGCAACAACACTACGAATATTGAGACGTGTTGCACTCATATTCCCCAATGCTTGCTATTTCCTTTTTGGGCAATAGTAAGAGTGCTGTTTTATGCTTTTTTTGACATGGGCATTTGTATAATAATAAGATCGTTTTGGAAGTTAATTTAATATCTTTGTTATTATTTGAAGGTGACGTTGATAGAGAGCAAGCACAAGAAACAATTAACAAATGTTTTACAATCTTATGAAATATGTTGAAATAAGATATAATTCATAATGGTAGATTGGCAGATTGAAATCGATGACATTGTATAACAAGTTTCATTATTATAGTTTAATGATATTACAATGAACTTTGTTTATTTGGATGGTTTATCAAATACTTCGTTCACCGCTATATAGCACTTTCTTGTTCAACCGAAATCATTCCAAGATATGAGCAATCGAATTCCATTGTGTAGTAGAACTTTCGAGTAATAAATAATCTTTACTTATTATTATCATCAACCCACAGCAGCTCTAATACTTGGTAAACGTTGTTATGCTAAACGCGGGTTTTTCTGAAATATGCCCCATCTACTTCTTGACTATCTAACAGATAAATAATAATTTGCTACTAAGCAAATTGGTAGATGTTTACGTTCTTTATATTCCTAGACAGACGTGTTCCATGTGAATAAAATAGATGGTTATTACTAGTCATACAGGTTTACACAGAATCGTTCGACCGACACATACTAAACGTGTATCGAATAAATAAGGTTACTAAAAGTAATGTCTAGGATATAGAATATATATGCCCCCATTGATCAAAAACTCTATTATTTCCAAAATCAATTATTTGATACTTATTTTGCAAGGAAGTCCAGTCACTTTCGCGTCTCCAGTCAGTGTTTTCGAACTCGAGTATTTGTAACTTGGGCAAGTCAGCCTTCAAGATTGATTTTAGTCC